ATATAAATCCCAGAGAAAAATGAGCATGTTGGTTATTACTGTTATTGTGTCTGATATAAAACCCATAGATATTTTGTCAGATCTTGATTTTTCAGACAAAATTTTATTTATGAATGATGACATGGATGAAGTAAAAAATGCAATAGATTCAGTTTAGAATGGAATTTAATCAGTTTGAGGAACAAAATTTAATTGATCCCACAGTGGACAAGGAAGCTGGTGATACATGTGGTTTGGCTAAACAAACAAAAAGAGGGAAAGATAGCATATGGATGGATAAATGAATGAGGGAAAACAAGGAAGGGTTAAAGAGAGAGCATTTGAAGAATGCATTATGGAATGGAAGTAAGAGAGAAATTTAATGAGTAAGGGGAGAGAAGAAATGGTATTGGTCCTTGATTTCAATTGTCGATGAATATGATACCAAAGAGTATGTTTTCACAGAAAGAGAAAGTAAGAAAAAAAAAGTATCAGCTCTGATTGTCACCTTTGAAACATTTTAACCTTTAATTTGTGATCCAAGAAAGTTAAGGAATCTATAAGATTTCACGTAACAGTTTTTCTTACATAGCGTGATGTTTTCTTGCAAAGTCTAGAGGTGTACATTTACAATGGCAACATGTTGTTGGAGGCCTTCAACTGTGGAAATCAGTCAAAAACTTTGCTTATTATTATTTTTTTATAGAAGTTAATGTATCGCAATATCTGTATATCTCTCTTATAACATTCAAATTAAATCTTATCACAGCACAAACTGTCTGTAGCTGGGAAACAGTTATGCAAAACAAAAGAAGTAATTGACCTTAATCTATTCATGTTGGAATAACATCCTGTCCTGTCATGAGTAACCACCCACATACCAGAAGGCTGCCTTCACATCATGCACGGTCAAGCCTACTCTGAGTTGTGTCTGATAAACTGTTTGTTTGGCCCTTATGGTGATTGTGGAGGAAAAAACAACCCCTCAAAAGTATGCTTATAGTGTCTTTTTTAGCCTCGGTACAGAAATTGATTTTTCCCTTGAGTAGCAGATTGCACATGCACCTCAATATAGTGGTATGGTGCCAGGGGCTCATGTTGTGAGTGGGTTAATAAAAAATCATCAATTGATTGTTGTAAACTCTACACTTCACACTCATGCAAAGACCATAGTCTAATCCCTCGCATATATATTCTTGCAAGAGAGAGCCATAGAGCTTAGTTCACCGATTACAAGAGTTGCTTCATGCATATTTATAAATATGAGATTGTGCTGTTATCCTTCACTTGAGCATGTTAATTTAACTCATTGGCTGCAGGTTTATGTACTATTCACTGAAGTTTTTCGCAAATGTTGTTGTACACAGATGGCTTCACACATACGCAGCCACCAAGGAATCAATTAAAAGGCCTTAGGGACTGTGTCTGATTTCCCCATATTTTGAATTTGCTCGTTTTTTTTTCTAATTGGATTCATATTGATTCTCTTTTTATAATTATTTACATTATACTTCATAATTTGATACAGCTTATAACTATGTGTGTATATTTATATTTGTTAATAATTGTAATGATATATATATATATATATATATATATATATATATATATTATATTATATTATATATATGTTTATATATATAGATATTATATATATGTTATAAATATTATATATATATATATATAATATATATAATATATATAATTATATTATATTTAAATATCTATATCTTATCTATCTATATGTATATATATATATACTATATATATATATATTATATATATATATACATACATATATGAATATATAAAATATATATAAATATATGAATAGATATATATATAAATATAAATATATATATTATATATAATTATATATATATATATATATAATGTAAATGAAATATTAATATATATATATATATATATATATATATATATATATATATATATATTTATATATATATATATATATATGTATATATGTATATATATATTTATATATAAATATGTATATATTTATATATAAATATATATAATAAATATATATATATATATATATATATATATATATATATATATATATGTATTTATATATANTGTGTGTGTGTGGGTGTGTTGTGTTGTGTGTGTGTGTTGTGTGTGTCTGTCTGTCTCTCTCTCTCTCTGTCTCTCTGTCTCTCTCTCTCTCTCTTCTCTCTCTCTCTCTCTCTCTCTCTCTCTCTCTCTCTCTTTCTCTTTCTTTCTTTCTTTCTTTCTTTCTCTCTCTCTCTCTCTCTCTCTCTCTCTCTCTCTCTCTCTCTCTCTCTCTCTCTCTCTCTCTCTCTCTCTCTCTCTCTCTCCAGTTTATCAGTCAGTCTGTTTTGTCTGTTAGTATGTTTACTTGTTTTCCTCCCTCTGTCTCTCAGTTTTTTCTTCATTTTCTTTTTTTCAATTATAATTTCTTTTTATGTTATTTTCCTTCCTTTCCTGCTCACTTTAATTTTATTTCCCCATTTTCCTCACCCTCCCAGCTGAAACATGCACACCCTCTACTTCTAATCTTTTTGGGACCAAAGTAGGTCACATCTGCCTTCGAGGCTGTTTAATGGCTATTGAAATAGAAATTGTTAACCCAGTGCCATGCCAAATATATGTGGGTGTGGGTGTGGAGTCAGCTGGTTGGTGTAAAAATCAAAATCACAGAAAAACCTAAATTACTGCATTTTCTGTGCTTTTAGCTTCTGCATAAACTATTTTTTTTAGTTAATGAGGCCCAATTTTGAGGGGCTATTTCACTTGAATGAATGTAGTCAGGACCAAACATGTGTGTGGCTGTTTATCCTGGACAGTTAATGACTGTTTGACTGCACTTAAAGGTATCATCTTTGTGTGATTAGGTGATCTACTATTACGTGATAGGACATAACTGGGCATCTCTCTGCGTATTTAAGTTAAATAGTAATGCCATATTAACATTCATGATAATAATAGCAATAATGATAGGTATTATTATGATAATTATAATAGTGATGGTAATGATAATGATAATGAATAAGAATAATTATAAAAAACTAATTATAATAGTAATGATAATAATGATAAAAGTGAAAGCAATAAAACAGCCAACACTAACCATTCTCACTAGGTTCTCCTCCCTGCCCTTTCTTGTTTCCTCCCTACTCCTTTCCCGGTTCCCGTCCCCTACTTTCTCCTCATCTAATTTGCTTTAGATAGGACAAATACTGCGACATCTATGGGTGACATGTAGAAATATATACTAGGCTGTAGATGTAGTTGGACATAGTAATGTGAAGTCCCAGAAACTAGGTTGTTGCACACATCTCATTTATGTCACTGCGGAGAGTATCTTACATGTAGAGGATAATAACTTTATCATCTGCATTTATTTTCTGTTGAAATAAAAGAAAACAATAACCTACCATCAATATTAGATGCATGTCTTAGAATCCAGATTGCAGATGACTAGTGTTGGGAGTTTTGACAATTTCAATGAGATGAATACACATATACCATTGAAACCATTTGTACCTGGTAGACATAAGGAACGTATCTCTTGACGGTGGTCTCATATGTGCATATCTCATATATATATCCGGGGATTAAGTGCAAGTCATGTGAATGTTGATAGATAGGAACTGTCTTATATTTTTATATGTTACACCAGGCTTTATCTTCTCGGTTAAACACCAATGGGTTCCCCTAGTATTATGGAGGGTTTCAATAGTCTGGTGTAAGTAGGGGGCTATCATTTTGTTATAAGTGTTTATTTGGGAATGTGTATGGCCAAATAAGAATGATAATTCACAAGGAACCAGTGTTGTCCTTCGAAAGCGAGGTATTGTTCGTGCCAACCCCCTCTTTTGCCATTGCGTATATTTTAATCAATGTACTTGATAGTACCATCATTATAGTAGGCCATTATTCAGTAACTGCTCAAAGTATTGTGTATATTGGCAGTGCACAACATCAGCAATCCACGAAAACCAGGTTTATTTATACTGGCATCATATGAGCAAGAATATTAATTTTAGGTTAACTTTTTTTTTAATATGGTACATATTACCTTTCATAGGCCTTTTTTAAATTAAATACAAATATATGAAAGCTTCATATTCGTGTTTGCATTTATATTATTGTAATTTCATATTATTTGAATTATGCTCTAAGATTTATTCTCATTTGTTATGTTTTGAAAACCTTACAATATAGTTTTTGGTTATAGGATTATTTGATATTAAGTGCAACTGTAATTAATAATTCATATTTATCTGTATATGAGACTTTAATACTACTAATTGGACAGAGTTTTGACATTAAGTGGAATGAAATTATAGTGAAATCAGTTATAGTATGAAATTTTTTTTTTTAATAAGCCAAGGTCAATTCTCTCTCTCTCTCTCTCTCTCTCTCTCTCTCTCTCTCTCTCTCTCTCTCTCTCTCTCTCTCTCTCTCTCTCTCTCTCTCTCTCTCTCTCTCTCTCTCTCTCTCTCTCTCTCTCTCTCTCTCTCTCTCTCTCTGTCTCTCTCTCTCTCTCTCTCTCTCTCTCTCTCTCTCTCCTCTCTCTCTCTCTCTCCTCTCTCTCTCTCTCTCTCTCTCTCTCTCTCTCTCTCTCTCTCTCTCTCTCTGTCTCTCTCTCTCTCTCTCTCTCTCTGTCTGTCTCTCTCTCTCTCTCTGTATGTCTGTCTGTCTCTCTCTCTCTCTGTCTGTCTGTCTCTCTCTCTCTCTCTGTCTGTCTGTCATGTCTCTCTCTCTCTCTCTGTCTCTGTCCTCTCTCTCTCTCTGTCTCTGTCTCTGTCTCTCTCTCTCTCTCTCTCTCTCTCTCTCTCTCTCTCTCTCTCTCTCTTCTCTCTCTCTCTCTCTCTCTCTTCTCTTCTCTCTCTCTCTCTCTCTCTCTCTCTCTCTCTCTCACATGTAATTTTCTTTATAGGACTAGGCCTAAACCTTGGCTCTCATTTTGCTCATATTGGCTAAATGCTCAGCATATCTTTGGGACTAACAAGTCTTGTGGAAAACTTACTATCGTGTTTAAAGTCAGTTTGGTAACATGTATATATTACCGTCACCGCTTATTATGTATTTATATATGATGAGAGAGCAAGCGAGGAGGGTTTTCAAGTAATTACCAACAGACAGACAGACATAGGAACACACCAACACTGGTTCAATATCATCATGGTCAGTCATTGGGAAATTATCATGAACAAAAATCACGGAAAATGTGTCTAAAATCAGCTTAAAAGATCATGAAAGCATGTTGCACTGACATTATTGCCTGTTATAACATTCCACAAGTCAAAGTGGTAACCAAATTGCAATTCCCAATATAAAGGAATTTTATCGTGCTGAGGCTGATGTGCAATTAAAAGCACATTACTGCCATTGTAAAAGTTTGTTATTATGTATATCCTCTATAATGTAGTTTCATTATTCCTTTTTAAAACAGTTATTTGATAAATTAAATTGTTTATCATTTGCAAACAAAAAGAGTATCATTTGTCCAACACTATACTCAGTGTAGTATGTCTGGCACAGTATCATAGGATGAATGATGCATCTTCTCTCTCCTCTCGTCCTCTTCCTCTCCCTGCTCCCCTCCCCTCCCCTCCCCTTCTCTCCTCTTCTCTTCTCTCTTTCTCTCTCTCTCTCCTTTCTCTCTTCTCTCTCTCTCTCTCTCTCTCTCTCTCTCTCTCTCTCTCTCTCTCTTCTCTCTTCTCTCTCTCTCTCTCTCTCTCTCTCTCTCTCTCTCTCTCTTGCAGTTCCTTATGCTTACTTAATTTAAATAATAAAATAAAAGGTAATAGTCCTTTTTTTCCTCATTTACAGGCAGAGATGTTAAGCCTGTTAAAAAAGGAGATCGAATCCAAGAAGCGGTCCTTGGAGGAGAGCAACGTGATGGAGGGCGACAAGAGGTACTTCAAGCGGGCCGAGTTGAGCGCCCGCCAGGCAGATGCCTACTGGAAGAGGCTCGGCGTCGGGCCCCGGGACGGGAATGAGGGAGAAGACGGCGCCTCCAACAATGAGGGCGAGGCCTCGCGGTCGCAGGACAAGGTGAACCAGGAGGTGGGTGACGCGCCAGAGCTCCCCCGCGCTGAGGTCCTCCGGAGGCTGAGGGAGAGGGAGGAGCCCATCCTGCTCTTCGGCGAGACGGAGCACGACGCCTTCAAGAGACTGCGGAGGCTGGAGATCCTGGAGCCGGAGGTGAACCGGGGTCTGAGGAACGATTTCCAGGAGGCCTTGGAGCGGGTGGACCAGGCCTACCTCAACGAAATCCTGAAGACTGAAGGGGGAGACGGCGTCCGAAATGTTTCCCTCACGGGCGAAATCATCACGATGGAAAGCCTGATCGAGACGGCGAAGGACCTCAACAACGGCAACGCCTCGTTCGAGCTCAGGTGCAAGGTTATCCTCAAGTTCGTCGAGCTCATCTTGCACCTGTGGGGCAGCAAGCACAACGCGCGTCCGGAGGCGGAGAAGCTCAGCGTCCGGGGCAAGATGGATTCCGCGACCTACACGCAGACGCAGTCGTACCTGAAGCCCTTGATCAAGTGCCTCAAGAAGAGGTCTCTACCCGACGACATCATGGAGTGTCTGACGGAGATCGTGCAGCACTGCCTGGAGCGCGATTACGTCAAGGCCAACGACGCCTACCTGCAGATGGCCATCGGCAACGCCCCCTGGCCCATCGGCGTGACCATGGTGGGCATCCACGCGCGAACAGGGCGAGAGAAGATCTTCAGTAAGCACGTCGCCCACGTCCTCAACGACGAGACGCAGCGGAAGTACATCCAGGGCCTCAAGCGACTCATGACCAAGTGCCAGCAGTACTTCCCGGCCGCGCCTTCGAAGTGCGTCGAATACCAGGCGGTCGCGCAGTGAAAAGACACAAGGCTGAACTCCGGGAAATGTCAGGTTGTAAATTTCCTCGGTCCCTTACCTGGAAACGGGTTCATGTCCTGTGCAAAATAGGTGGAGGGCAGCAGAACATGAATGGCGAGCTGAACAGGATGAATGAACACTTTCCGAAAATTCACGTTGAAAATATAAGCAAATATTTTACTGTCCCAGCTCATGAATATGAGTTAACATTTTGCTAAACTTCAAGAATAAGATATTTTTGATTTTGTACCAGTTCAGGGAGTGTAGTTCTCTTAAAGGATTCACAATTTTTAGATGAATGCCTATGTAGTAAGATTTCACCATATGTTTTCATATTTATATTTGGTGAAAAAGGAAACAAATTAGAGGTAACAGAATAAATATAAAATGAAATAACAGTTACTTACATTTGAAATAACTTACAATCTACAGTAATAGAGCGATACGATCCTACAATTTGCTGTATGCTAATGTATTGTAAGAAGTATATGTACAATATATATGTATAAGATATTCATTTCATTCAAACTTATCATCAAACATTGTCCATATATTGTTCACACGTATATTTTGGCAATTTTACTAATTGCCTTGCATATATCATTTTTTCTTCGTATAAGAAATAAAAGTTGAAATTTTTAA